AAGGTCTTCCATCCGCTGGTTCATTCCCCAGATGGCCACAATGGCTGGAGCTGCGCTGATCCAAAACCAGGAGCCAGGAGCTTCTTCCAGTCTCCCAAGGGGGTGCAGGGGCCCAAGGACTTGGGTCACTTCTACTGCTTCCCCAGGCCATAGCAGAGAGCTGGACCAGAAGTAGAGCAGCTGGGACTCGAATCAGCACCCATATGGGATGCCGGCACTGCAGGTGGCAGCTTTACCTGCTGTACTGCAGTGCCGGCCTCTGGACATTCTGTTAATTCATTGGATGAATATGAAGTGCCTGCTGTGCCCAGTCATTGATCTGGGGATAGGGATGTAATAGTGAACAAGACCAAGGCCTAGGCCTTTAGGAGCTCCTGTGTGTTGTTTCCAATCAGCATAAAATCATTCAAGGTAGAGATTTCAGTTTTACAGATGAAAGAGCTGAGGCTGATGAAGGAGAGATTTTCTGGTGTTGTGCTGCCTGTGAGTGACCTTGTTTTAGTTTGAACCTATTTGATTCCAGTCTACTCTGCTCTGTTCTACCACTTCATGATAGATCATAGTGTTTTTGTCTTTATTAAGATGTTTATAAAATCCAGGATTGGTCTAAACATGCTTGACTATGTATATAATTAAGCTGACAGGGATATGGCCCAAGAAATGAAGTCCATAAGTATTTATTCCTTTTTAAACTTGATGCTTCAAGAGAGTTAAAAGAGACACTAAAATATAGCTAGTGCTTTGAACTTAAAAAAAAATGCAACATTTAAAGAAATAAATTTAACCAAAATTTCACAAGATTTGAACACTGATAACTAAAAAATATTACTCAGAGACACTAAAGAAGCCTAAATAAATGGAAAGTTGTCCTTGTTCATAAACCAGAAGACAACATTGTTGTGAGGGAAATACTCAATTAGACTGATCTACAGAGTCCACACAAGCCCTAACAAAACCCCAACTGAAGCTAAAATTCACTAGGATCCAGATTAGGCAAAGCAATCTTAAAAATACAGAATAAAGTTGGAGGACTCAGACTTTTAAATTTCAAAACCCACTATAAAGCTACAATAATTTGAACTGTGTGATACTGTCACAGAACAAAAATATAGATAAATGGATTAGAATTAGGAGTTGAGAAGTAAACTTTCCTATATGGTCAGTTGGTTTTTGACAAGGGCGCCAACTGATGAATGGATAAACAAAGTGTGATATAGCCTTACCATGGAATGTTATTCTGAATTGAGCTCCTGCACTAGCACTTGGGCCACCTTCTACTGCTTTCCCGGGCTGTAGCAGAGAGCTGGATGGGAAGAGGAACAGCGGGGACTTGAACCAGCCGGCGCTGCAGGTGAAGGATTAACCTGCTGAGCCACAGCACTGGCCTCCATGGAATGTTATTTAGTAAGGAATGGAATAAAGTATTGATAAGCTGTTTAGCATGAATGAACATGATGTTAAGTGAGAGAGGCTAGTCGCAGACAGACATTTTGTATGAAATGTCCAGAGTAGGCAAAGCCACAGACACACAACAGACTGATGGGTGCCAGCATCTGGAGAGGAGGAGGAATGAGCAGTGACACTAACGGGAACGAGGTTGCTTTTCAGGGTGATGAAAATATTCTGGAATTAGATATTGGTGATGGTTGCAAAACTCTGGGTATACAAAAAAAAAAAAAACCCACTAAGTTGTATATTTCAAACAGGTAAATTTTATGATATGTGAGTTGTATCTCAATAAAACTGTTACATGTGTTTAAAAACACCTATTACTTTTGCTTTGGGCGTTTGGATTCAGTCTACCACTTCTATTATCTGTTTGTGTCTGGGTTATTTCAATCCAAATACAGTATACTCTAGACTCTTGTCTAGGACAGCCTATGCTAACTAACTTTATTTTCATCTGCTTTCCTATTCCTTTCCTTTACATTAGGTAGCCCTGTTACATGAAGGCAAAAACTTTACAGAAATATATGATGTCATATTTCCTTTTGGATCCTTCTTTAAAAAAAAAAAAAAAAGAAAAGAAAACCTTAGCATTATATTCAGTTTCAAACTAAGAGTGGCATATTGTTGTAATTACATCATTTGGAAATGTGTTTATTTTCAAGAGTACGGATTTGATTTAGAAACTGCTTTTCCTGAATTCTCTGTTATTCATGGCACTTGATGACCACACACTCGAAATGCTCTCTGGCCAGAGCACAAGAGTCTTGGGGGGTCAGTGTAGAAATGATTCATGGCTTGATAGAATGCAGGCAAGTTAAATATGACTTTTATAATGTGGCTGGGAGCCCAGCTTATGGTATGAATTGGTACATGTCTCTTTCTTTTGTAAACACGGACTGAAGTAGGTTTTATTTCTGGAATGCTGTGGCATGGTGCTAGTGAGAAGTATGAGTGTCTTACTCAAAGCCTTATATAACAGGAAGCAAAATTTTCTGAGGGAAAAAAGGGGCTTGGGAGAAACAGAAGATAAAATCTTTGCTGGGGACAGTTC